CACGAGAAAATGCGTGTCAAGCGGTATGAAGCTGGATGACCATCAAACAGAGTCAGATAACGGATAGAAACAACACACATACACACGCGCGCGCACGCACAGAGAGAGAGGGGGGGGGGAGAGTAGGAGAGAGGTAGAGAAAGAGCGAGAGAGAGGGGGGAGAGAGAGAGAAGGACAGTTTGAAGTCACAAAATACGCACACTGTATGGGGTCGAAGCCTTTTACTTAAATTATAAATTTTGGAACACTCTAACTCAGTGAAAAATGATCCAATTTAAAAAAATAAAAAACCGTTGTATTCGTCTCCATGTCACCTACGACATTCACTGGAACATAAAAATCGGTTGCCATTTGCGAAAATGGTCGCCATGTAGAAATCTCGAAAGTGGCCAACTTCTGCCTCCCTTGGAACCATAAAACTATTGTTTAAAAAATTTTTTCCTATCTCTTTTATTTTAAGAGATATTTAGCTGCATCACTTAAAATGATACACCCTGTATATGTTGAAAAATAGGTAATTACTTCCAAATTATAATTTTGACGTACTATAACATGTATATTACGTGTTTGTTTAAGATCGCGTAATTAAATTTTCAAAAATGCCATTGCGAAAATGGCAAATCAAGTAAATCAATAAAGTATCGTATCAATACTAAAAATTCGCGTAAATTTATTGCGAATTATATCGCTAATTAATAATAATTTAATTTATTTAAAATTTATCTGAATATATTACTTGGATTTCTAAATTATCGAGTTATTGTCCTTCTCAATTCTTATCCACGTCGCGCATCTATCACGTACATTCACTTGAACAATATTTAATATAGAAACGTTTTTAATCGATAGTGAAGCAGTTCTCATTGAATTATGTGTATCTATAGAATTTTTTATCGACTACACAATTTAATAAATATTTAAAAAAAGGTGCAAATTGGAAAACACTTTAAATTCAAATATTTCATCTAAAATTTTTGCCAATATAAAATATTGCATTACACTGTGTAGTATACAGAATTTATTAATATAATGAATGTAGAATATGGCAAATAGGTTATTTTGAACTTGGACGAGATTCGTAAATCATATGATTACAATACTCAAGCAAAGCATGCTTAAACAAATATGTAATACAAGCTATAATACTTCAAAATTATAATTCAATATGTAATACAAGCTATAATACTTCAAAATTATAATTCAGACGTAATTACCTATTTTTCAACTTGTATAAATTAATACTTTTGATTTGCAATATTTTTAATGTTCGTTGAATAAATTGGCCACTCGCACGAATAAATTTTTCGAAGCTTCGAATTACTTTAAAGCTTTGAAAGTTCGAATATCGAAGCCTTCGAAGGAAATCACTAGTCCTAGCATACACTATGACTATATTCCGATATTCGCCGTTAGGAGTTGGAAGGAGTGCGGAACTCTTTCTAATTTTTATCAGGAACTGTAGAACTATGAAAAGTGCTATTGGACCTCTTGGTATTTTTTTGGAATTCGTAGAATGTCGTGCCAACTTCACAGACACGGAAATCACACAGTGAACACTTAAAGGACAGGACAAGAAAAGGAAAAGAAAGAAAGAAGGAAACGAGAAGAAAGAACAAAGGCAATTTTAAATGAAGAGGAAAAAGACATGAGAGAAAGGAGGAAGAGAAGACTAACGGAGAAAAGAAAACTGTTACGAAGAGGAAGAAAAATTGTAACAGTTGTGGATGAAGAAGTAGAAGAAACGCCGGAATAGAAGAGGAAAGGAAGAAAAAGATAATTGAGATATAATAACAAAGAAGCGTAAAGAGGATGCTCAAAGGGAAGTATAGATACGAGTATTCGAGGAACAGGACAAGAAAGGAAAAGAAACGAGAAGTAAGAAAGAAGAAAGGTCACAATAACTTTGAGTGAAGAGGAAAAAGGACAAGAGAAGAGGATACTGAAGCAGAGAGAGAAAAGAAAGTTAGAGAATACAGAAAATAGGGATACAAGAAGTAGTAGATTTGTAGGTATAGACTGTAGATAATAGTACGTGTGAAAGACAAATCTATTTTATACATATATTAAATTTTAAATGAGCGTCAAAATTATATATATTTATAAATCGTAAGATATATTTTAATGCTAGAATTAAAAGTGTGGCATTCTACTGATTGGATGTAGGGAATGTTCTCTACATTTCATAGTAGTTATCTGCCTTGTCAGTTGAATTTACAATAGTTAGATAATATCTTCCTCTATATATTGCGAAAGGTATAGATATTTCGTAAGAAAAATGAGTTCGTCCGACAACCACCTTAACTATTCTCCTAGGAGAGTAGTTCTTATAAAATTCTATTTTAAAACCTTTCGTCCTTTGATGAGTCCTCGCCTACGAAAGGCGAAGGGGAAAATAAAAAGGAGAGTTTTCATTGCGCGAAACTCACTTTAAAGCCCGCGCCGGCGGTCGACGAACAATAATATTCATCTATATCGACGTCGAGAGCCAAAGTCAAGCCGTAAAACAGCCCAGCGCCGTACGGTCTCCGTGGTATAACATCCGGTGGCATACTCGCATCGTACCCCTCTTCGGCGTTCCAATCAACGCTCTCGGAAGGATACGTGATATTGAGGTCGGGCCAGTCTTTTCTGAAACACCGTTTACAGAAATTTTCAATCATATGAAATATATTTTTAGCTCGTATTCCTCAATTTCACAATTATACAAGTTTAATCGATTACACTTCACTCACGCGTTATAGAAGAGATGTTTCTTGGATACCGCGTTAAAATTACAGCAAATACCCTCGTCGGTCATGGTAGGATTAAAAATCCTCTCGCAATCGGTCTGATTCCCATGCCAAAGGCAGTAATGTAACATGTCTGTGCACGGTTGGGATACCTTGTGCAAAGAGAAATGAGAATTTAAATAATTTTCCAACAACATAATTAAAAAGAACCAATCTCGTCAACATTTCAAGAGATATGATTTTATAATTATCTTGACTAATTCCCCCCCCCCCCCCCCACACACACACACATGTATGTACATATATGTATATCATATGCAACGTACATTGATCATAAACCGTAGTATCCTGTTCCACTCGACATTCACCTGATCGTCGTAAGTTATATTGCTCTCTGAATTGCAAACATCTTCCAACATTAACTTATCCAATTCATCGTACCTAACAAAAGAAACGCAAAAGATTCTTTTTTATAATTTTTAATTATAATTTCTTAAATATTTCTGGCAATGCAATGTATTTATAATTATATTTTATAATTATTAATTATTATATAGAGTAATATTAATAACAATTTAATGTACACTTTACCCACGCTCAATCCGCTTTGCCTCCGTCTTTTTAACTCTATTCATGTTGCATATTGTTACGGAGGGAAACGGAAACTCGTTGAGGGACACCGGATTGGGGCTCAAAGAAGTCATGATAGGAGCTCCGTTCCATTTCTGATAGAGGTAACAACTATAATATATCGCCACTGTTAGCGCGATAGTAAACGAGATCACCCAAAATATTCTGCAATAAATAACGCATTTAGTGTTAAAACATCTGGGTAAAATGTAAACACTTATAACTGACAATTTATCCTATACAAAATATAATTATAATATATAATTTTTTACATACGAGTTCGTACACACATATAAATACGTAAGCATAATTTAATTTCCAAAGATATTTAAAAGAACATTAGAATATAAATGTATCTCTTTTAATATACATATATATATATATATATATATATGATTTATTACCTTTAGCGTACAGCCAAAAAGGGGACTTTGTTTACAAAAGTTCCTTAACCACTCATTCATCCATACTCTCATTCCTACTCTCTCTACTCTCTAACCCTAATCTCTTTCCCTTCTTATTTCTTACTTCTAATTTCTTATTTCCACAGTGACTTGCTCATCTTTTCCGCCTTACTTTTCCTTCCATCTTTCCTTTATCTTCATCTATTACATCATTATATAATCTTTCCAAATTCTTTTCCATACTATTATC